ACTCCACAGGAAAGACTATTTCTATTGTTTGCCGCTTTGTGTTTTTGTACATGTGTACAATGTATCTTGATCTCTCATACGCTATATTCTCTCCTCAGATGTCCCCTGTATGCCCTCTTTCAACCCTCAGGGCTTCTTTTATTATTTATTTTTGTAAACCACTAAGACTCATTGGTGTTGTCTTCTGGAATGCTTGCTGATAGGCCTTGAGCTGGGAACCATAGCTGCAGTGAGTTCCTGAGCGCAGCAGCCACGTCCTGTCTAGAAGACCTTATTTCACTGCATTCTTCTTTGACTTACATTCTCTCTGCTCCCTCTTTAGACTGCAGCTTGGCAACATGTTCATTTAGCATAACAGCAGCAGAATCAGCTCCTAGGTTTATGAGCTCCTAAGCCATAGTATGAGACATGAATTCCCTCTTTGCCTTCTGTGGAATAGGTCTCAAGTCCAGACAGCAAGTGGTCAGCTCTTCCCGTAATCTTCATGCTACTTTGCAGCAATGGGCACCTCTTGTCTGGTAAGTTGGTATTGTAGCTTTCAGGGTTCACTCCCAGAAAGGACCATTGATGTCCTTTCTTCCCAGGCAGTCTGCACAGCACCTTCCGAATCTGTTTTGTGTGAGGTCCAAACAGAAGTTTCTTCTCTGTGTGTGTTGCTTGTGAAAGTACCACTGTTTATGGAGGCCAGAGGAGGACATCAAGCATCCTCCTCTATTGCTCTTTACCTTGTTTCCTTGACAGAATCTGTCACTGAACCCGGAGCTTAAAAAACTAAGTGTTTTTCATCTATGCTAGTGGTCAGTAAGCTCCAGTGGTCACCTCTACCTCCCTAGTGCTGAAATTGCATGTATAGCCACGCCCCCTTTCTTCTCTTCTCTTCTCTTCTCTTCTCTTCTCTTCTCTTCTCTTCTCCTTCCTTCCTTTCTTTTTTTTTTTTTTTTCCTGAAACAAGGTTTCTTTGTGAAACAGCCCTGACTGTCCTGGAACTCACTGTGTCCAGCCTGGCCTTGAACTCACAGAGATCCACGTGCCTCTTCCTCTGCAGTGCTGGGATTAAAGGCGTGTGCCACCACTGACACCTCCCCTCTTATTTTTTTTTTTCATACATAAGGCTCTGAACTCAGGTCCTTGTGCTTTCTCAGCAATAGCTCTTACTGAGTGTTTTTTCCCCAGCCCTGTCACTTGCATTTCTCAGGAGTGTAGAGTTATCTTTTTGTTGACTCGTCTGTCTAAGTCAATGGTTCTCAACCTTTGGGTCACAACTCCTTTGGGAGTCAAATGATTCTTCGTGGGTTTGCTTAACACCATCAGAAAACACAGGTATTATTACATTAACATTTACATTGTTAATTACATTGTTAATTACATTGTTAATTTACATTAACAATAGCAAAATTAGCTATGAAGTAGCAATGAAAATACTTTTATGGTTGAAGATCACCACACAAAAAGAACTGTATTAAAGGTCACAACATTAAGAAGGTTGAGAACCAGTGGTCTAAGCAATTTTTGTTTGGGTAAATTTTTAGAAATATGTTGTAACAATATAGGGGTCAGAAGGTCCATTTAAATTGAGGGCTGATACTTTTTTTCACTAACATTCAGCAGGATCACAAAAATACATACCACAACATATGCATATAATACATATGACATACATATAATACATACATATTACATACATATAAAACTCATTTATTCTTTAAAAAATTTTAATATATTTATTTTATTTTTAATTATGTGTGTGTGTGTGTTTATATACGTGAGTGCTGATGTCTGCAGGGTCCAGAAGAGGGTGCTGAATCACCTGGAGTTGTAGGAAGTTGTGAGCCTCCTGATCTGGGTGCTGGCAACTGAAATCAGGTCCTGGCAAAAGCAGTGCACACTCTTAGCTGCTGAGCTGCTGTTCCCACTCTCGGTTCTGCTCTCAAGGCTATTGTGCTTGTTTCACTGAAAAACATCTCATCCATCATGTAAGTGTTGCCAAAATCAGTTATGTAATCTGTGACCAAAGAGAAATCCAAAAAGCAGTGGCTTCTTCTTAGATAATACTATCTAAAAGGCCATCATTCTTGCCATTGTTTGCTTCCAGTTCATAGTGGAAAGATAATTTGAGGACTATAGGAAAAATATAAAGGAAGAAAACATAGTCAGTAATTCCACCACCAGAAAGGGCCAATATTATTCCTAAGAAACCTCCAATATTTGAGGTGAAGGTTACTTCACCAATACACTGTTTGGAAGCTTTAAGCATAAGGATTGTTAGGCGGTAGGGGTGCACATCTTTAATCCCAGCACTTGGAAGGCAGAGGCAGGTGGATCTCTGTGAGTTTAAGGCCAGCCTGTTCTACAAGAGCTAATTCCAGGATATCCAGGGCTACACAGAGAAACCTTGTCTCAAGCAAACAAACAAATGAGAAAGGGCAGGAAAGATGGTTCAGTGCTTAAGAACACTGGTTGCTCTTTCAGAGGTCTTGAGGTCAATTTCCGTCTATAATGGAATCTGATGCCCTCTTCTCTCTGACGCCCTCTTCTGCCAAGCAGGCACATGTGCAAATAGTGCACTCATATACACAAAATACACGAATAAATAAATCTTTTTAAAAAGCCATCTTCTAAAAAAACAAAAACAAACCAAAACCATAAGGATCGTTGGGACTTTAACAGAAGAAATGGAACTGTAGGAAAAACTTACAAATTGCTCCAAAGATGACATCTTGTTCTTATTTAGCTTTCTTTGAGTCATTAACAGTCGGGCGCCACTGGTGCTGAAACTTATCATTATTATAACCGCAAATGGGTTAATTCCCAAACAAAGCTATATTCTTGGGGTTGGATCCCAGCCCCACCACACAGACCCCAATAGTAGCACCCTCCAAGTCCCAGAATGATGTTCCACAAATAAGTGGATGTCAAGTGTGTAGCCTGGATTCAAAACTTTCTGTTTTTATCTGGGTGCTCTCAGTTGCTAACAGGACAGAACAAAAAGAAAAGTAAATAAATAAACACCAACCCAAAATCTCTAAAAAAGGAGATTGTGTGGTTTAGTGGTCAGCCCACTCGCCTGGATGTTGATATAGCTGAGATCCACTTCCAGCCCTCCCACAGAGTAGATAGTCACTTTTGTGACCCATGCCTCAGTTTTCCTACTTAGAAAAGAGGGAATTGCCTTAGTTTTCGTGAGGCAAAACATATGAAATTATCCTCAAATAACTTCAGGCTGCTGGAGAGTAAGGTAAGACTCATCTGTAATAATTACCATGTTAGCATTGCTTGCTTGTCTAGCATGGATGAAGTAGACCCTAGATTCCATCCCAGCTCCAAATAAAACAGTTGGTGACACAGGCCTAGAATCGTAGCATTCCAGAGATGGAAGCGGGAGGATCAGAAGTTCAAGGTCATCTTTGGCTACCTAGTGAGTTACGGGCAAGCCTGAAAAACATAAGGCCCTATCTCAATTTTTAAAAATTTATTATTACTTTACAGTATAGTAATAAGTCCAAATATAAGGTACCCTCAACATGCATAGAAAAGTGGTGGAGGAAGGAGAAGGCAACACTTTTAAATCAAATTTGTAAGACTTCCTATCAAATTCATTACCTCAGAACACTAAACACTGTTCCTAGTTTGGCTCTGCCCCTTTCTCATTTCCACATCCAAATTCAGAGTGACTCAGAGAAGCCTGGAGTTGAGACATATATACAAATTTAAGGGGAAGGGAGAATTACAAGGTCTGAGAGGCTCCTTGTTAGCAGAAGCTAAGAATAGGCCACTGAGAACATGAGAGAAGATGCTTCTCTTTCCTTCTCCCAGTGTAGGTGGTCTGTGGGATTCCCAGCCTCTCCTTTGATGGCAAAAATTTTGTTTTCTTTCTTTGTCACAAAACCTCCCCTTGTTGAAGGGGGAGGGAAAGGAATTTACTTAAAAAAAAACACAAAATTGAGGACCAAGTGACTTTTCCTGCTACTGTTGGGTTATGACAGCTGCTACAGATCTCTATTATGTGGAGGGAGAAGCAAAAGGAAATATCTATTTGAAAACCAATGGATGGTCTTTCTTTTTTAAAAAGGTACAGTTGGGGGGGGATCTAATAAATGCTCTGGTTTCTGATCCACTTCCTTTGTGAAGTATCTTTGTAGGAAAAAGGAAAGCCACTTGGACGAGGCATCCAATAACAAGGGATAAGAGAAGTAGAGTCTAAAGATAAAAGGAATTTCAGAGGAATGCCTGTTAACTTACTTAGTAAGTAATTAATGGGTAGTTTTCAAAATGACATTTTACTGGGTGGGGTGGCACACACCGTTTCAAACAGCCCTCTACGAGGCAGAGGCAGGCAGATCTTTATAAGTTCAAGTTCAGTCTGATCTAAATCAAGTTCCAAGCCAACCAGGGCTTTGTGAGACCCTGTCTCTCTCTCTCTCTATGTACTTATACATTTATTTATTTGGGGCAGGGGACACTTGGAGGTCAGAGGACAACTTGAAGGAGTTGGTGTTCTATTCTTCATCATACGGGGTATCTTAGATTGAACTCAGCGACTAAAGGTGTTGAACCGTCTCCCAGGCCCTTAATGAAAACCTCGTGTCTAACCCTGTTAGGTGCTAAAATGCACATCCCTGACTCCAAGAAGCTGCCAATACACAATGAGTACTTTGTAGCAACTTAAGAGAGTAAATACTAAAATGATTAATAATAGGTAACAAGACTTCAGTTTTGTGTGAGTTCATACATAATAATTATCATGAGGATATACACAAATTATGAAATCCAGAAATTGTGGATATGAGCCAGTGTCAGTAATTCTGGCATCACGAAATATGACACATTCAGTGCTTTAAAAACAAGTCCTAAATATAGGAGCTTAAAAAAAAAAAAGAAAGAAAGAAAAGAAAAAGAAAGAAAAGAACAATCTTGAAGTGACGGCTTCCGGAACTTGAGTAGTGGACTCCGCGTTGCCAGTCGGAGCTGTTTATGTGACACCCTCTCCGCCTTCTATTTCTTCTCTGGCCGCATGGGTACCATGGCAACAGAGACAGGCTGTAGCCTGGATTCCGGAAGCCGGAGAGCTGGAGCGTGGAAACTACCCGGTCAAAGGATGCTGAGTCCCGAGCGCCTTGCTCTACCGGACTACGAGTATCTGGGTAGGGGGTCTTCTTTCAGCTTCGGGAAAGGAAAGAAGTGAAGTTAGGTGAAGAAGTGGGGCGGAGACAGGGGTGGAGCCTGAATGGTAGCGGGTCTGGATGAAATGGGGTGGGACAGAAAGAAGGGGCTCCAGGGCCTGAGCCTCTAATGTAGGGCCAAATAAGAATGAAAAATAACATTTATGAAGTAAAGAATGTCTGAACTCTGTGGACTAGCACTCAGGCAATGAGGATTGCGTTCAAAGTAACACAATTAAGAAGCTGAGGCCCTAAAAAGGGCTGTACCTGATAGGTTGGTATAGGAGCAAACTTGGCCTTTGAAGTGACATCAGACATTTTGTGAATAATAATTTTGCTTTCATAGTGCGATGTAATTTCGAGCTTTTCTCTTTTGTTACACACTGTGGCAAACATTTTGCATGCGCCATTCTTTCTTTGATACTTATTAACAGACTTAGAAGGGGTTGCTGTTTTCTACTTTACAGATGGAGAAACTAAGGCTAAAGAGACAACTTGCATAAAACCACACAGTTAGATAGTAGTAGGATCATATTTGCCCACTGCAGAACTTGACTCTGGACCTTGCTTTTGAGCTAAGGCTATGTGGTAGTAAGTACTGTACTTTGATAAGCACCTTACAGTGAGTGTGAAAAGCATTTACTTATATGCATACATATACACTTAAAAATTCATAGACTTAAATATTTAGAGGAATTTTAAGCTTGTAGAAGATTGAGCAGATAGTAGAGAGTCCTTTTTACCCTCTATATCTTCTATTTAGCTTCTTATTCTCCTTTTTTTTCTGTTTTCTTTTTTCAAAATAAGGTTTCTGTGTCTTAGAACTTGCTCTGTAGACCAGGCTGACTTCAAACTCAGAGCTCAGAGATCTACCTGCCTCTGTCTCCCCAGTGCTGGTATGTTAAAGGCGTGCACCACCACTGTCTGGCTTCTATTTAGCGTCTATTATTAATATATTGTATTAGTGTGATACATTTCTTGCAATTGGTTATTAGCTCAGTGTGATTACCAAAAGCCTATACTTTACATTGGGGTTTATTCTTTGTGCTGAGCAGTTTTCTGGACTTTGACAAATTCATATTATCGTACAGTCACTATTAAGGTATACAACAGAATCATTTCATTGTGCTGAAAACCCTCAGTGCTTCACCCTTTCATCCATCCCCCTGCCCCACCCTTTTCCACCACTGAGCTTACTGACTTTGAAATGTTGCCCCTTTGAGAGTGATTGGAGCCATTCTGTTTATTCCTCACAGGTCTTTCACTTATGAATAGGGCTTTAAAGCCCCTCCGTGTCTTTTTGTAGCTTGATAGCTCATTTCTTTTTTTCTTTTCTTTTTTGATTTTTCAAGACAGGGTTTCTCTGTGTCACCCTGGATGTTCTGGAACTTACTCTGTAGACCAGGCTGGCCTTGAACGCCCAGGGATACTCCTGTCTCCACCTATCTACTGCTGGAATCAAAGGCATGAATCATCACACCTGGTAGATGATTAAATTTTCTTAATTAACCATCTGAAATGTCGCTTTATTAAATGACTTTTTAATATAAAGACATTTATTTTGGGGCATAGTTTAGCAGTTAAGAGCATGTGCTACTTTTCCAGAGGACCCGAGTTTGGATCCCGTTTCCCCCACAGCACCTGCAACTCCAGCTCGGGCTCCTGGGTCTCTTCTGAATTCTGCAGGCACACATACACACATAGCAGATATATGCAAATGGAAATTTATAGTAAAAGGACACACGTCCCTTTCCACGAGTCTGGCATGTTCCTCACAGGTAACTGATGGTACTGGCTTTCTGTGCATCCTTCTGCAGATTATTCTGTACATAAAAGAGCATGGAGCATGTCTGTAATCCCAGCTATCAGAAGGCAGAGGAAGAACTGATCTACAGAGAAAGTTCCAGGATACCTAGAGCTGTTACACAGAGAAACCCTATCTTTGGGGGCAGGGTGGGAAGTACACCTGTGTCTTAGTTAGGATTACTACTGTTGTGATGAAACACCATGACCAAAAACAATTTGGGGAGGAAAGGGTTTATTTGGCTCATAGTTCCGTGTAACAGTTCATCATCCAAAGCAGTGAGGACAGGAGCTCAGGCAAGGCAGGAACCTGGAAGCAGGAGCTGATGCAGAGACCATTCAGGGGTGCTGCTAACTGGCTTGCTCCTCCTGGATTACTCAACTTGCTTTCTTTTTTTTTTTCTTTTTTTATTTGTTTGTTTGTTTTTTTGGTTTTGTTTTCCAAGACAGGGTTTCTCTGTAATACTCCTAGCTGTCCTAGAACTAGCTCTTGTAGACCAGGCTGGCCTCAAACTCACAGAGATCTGCCTGCCTCTGCCCCCTGAGTACTTGGATTAAAGGCACTTGCCACCACTGCCTGGCTCAACTTGCTTTCTTATAAACCCAGGACCACTAGCCCAGGAATGGCACCACCCACAGTGGGCTGAACCCTACCCCATTGATCACTGATTACCCCCATTGATCACTAATTAAGAAAATGCTCTACAGGCTTGCCTATAGCTTACAGCTCCTTTTGGGGGGCATTTTTCTCAATTGGAGTTTCCTTCTCAGATGACTTTAGCTAGAAGCACAGATAACTTTGTACCTAATGCGTAGCAATATCAGCACCTATACTTTTGGTAAAGATTTTAGGTGTTTTGCTAATTTACTTACTACTCCATGAGCTGTGAAGTATTTGACCATCCTAGTACCTTGTCAGTCCCTTGGATTTGTCCACATCTCAGAGGCGTGTCTGTGGTAGACTGCTGCCTTGACAAGCAGAAGCTGGTCTCTTTCTAAGTGGCATAAATGAAAGACTGGTTTAGTGGCCGTGTTGACAGTCTGTGAGCTGATTCATTGCTTCAGGGCACTTGAAAGTTTCAGTGTTCGTGGACTTCAACTATCCACTGTTCTTGAATCCTGCGCAAATGTTCCTTTGGCTCTCTTGTATAGTTAAAAGTCCTGATTGGCATCAGGATATTTGTACTTCCCTGAGCAAGCCATGTCACTCACTGACTTCCTTATGGTTCAGCAAATTGAGTAACTGCTGAAACACATTTATTTTTACCTAAGAACTAGCCCTGCCTATTACAGCATGCTCTCTCATAGAGATATGTTATTTTGAAACATTCACTCTCAACATAATGACCATTAACAACCACGCCCTAGAAGCTGTGCATGGTGACACATGACTATAATTTTAGCACTGGGGCCACTGAGGCAAGAGGTTCCTGGATTTGAGGTCATTTTGGCATACATAGCGAATCCTTGTCTCAAAAATTATTAAAATCAATGAATAATAAATAAAACTTTAAAGTCATTCTTTATAGGTTAGATCATATTTCTGATTTAAGATCTTGAAATCTGTTTATTTTTTAATTCACTTTGATTAACTTTTACAATTTATAAATTCACTTGCATATATCAGGCTAGAAAGGAAATACACATAGAGAACAAAATACTATAGACAGGAAAGTCTGTGGCACTCACTAAAATAAAAACAAAAAACTACAGCTGAGTTCCCCTGGGAGGTACATCTAGAATCCCTCTTTAGGATTGTAGTGTGGGGCACAGTGACACCCGTAAGTGAACGCCTCGAGGCGTCCCTTCTGCCTGCGAGCTAGGAATTGTATTGGGTTTTTGACTATTTTTGAAGAAAGCAGCCTTTCCTCATGTTGGGTAAACTAATTTCTTTTCCACATTGACTTGGTGAATTTGGAACCTATTATCCTGACCTGGTTAAGGTCATCAGGAAAGATGTTCATGCAGGTAGTCAGTGTAGCAACAGACACTGTATTGACATCCAGACTGAAGAGAGGACCTGGTAAGGAGATGAAGAAGGCTAGAGATTCCCATCCGTCTGGAGGTGACTTGTTGGAGGCATATGCCAGCTGCCGAGGTGCGTCTGTGTGTCTGCTGGGTGTGGAGAACTCTGGAACCGAAGGGAGTCTGTTCCACACCCAGACTTACACAACCACCTAAGTGCCGACCTGAGCATGAGTGTGAGGGGTGAGGTTCCTTCTTACTCCACCTAATTGTGGAAGTGCATGCTTTCACTTGTACTCAGGCTGGCTCCCCTGCTTCTGTGGAACCGTTGGGAATGGGGTGACATCATAGCTATCTCTAGGAAACCAGAAATCAGAGGTTGCACTCTTCCTTTGAGGTCTATGTATTTAGAAGAATTACAGTGAATGATAGAGGTTTTCTTCTTTAATCTGATATTAAAAATTTTTTGTTGCTTTTTAAAAAATGTGTATATGAAGGAGGTAGGTGCGTGAGTGTGGGTAAGTGTGCCAGTCTGCACATGTAGGGTGAGGCCAGCTTATAGCAGTCAGTTTACTCCTTTCACCATGTGAAATACCTGGACATGTATGCACATACATGTATGCATGCAAATACACACCCACATGCACACACATGCTGGTATCAAATGTCAAGTTAATAAGTGGTGGAATTAGGATTATAATTGAGCAATCTAGTTCATGTCCACATGCTTAAATTCTGCTATCAATACATTGAGTGGCTCCAGTCAAAAGTGGGTTCCTTACTATGATATAGCTCATACAAGGAGCTCTGGAGTGAATTCAGTTGACTCCAAAGGCTTCATTTAGTATTTCTGCTCATGAGGGGGCCTCCTAGGAATCAGGGTGGATCAAGAAATGCCAATATTCCAGTTCTCTCTTGTCAGTGGACTCATCCTCAGGGACAGGCAGTGAGGAAGGGAACTTCTAACCATTTGAGAGAATTCCTTTCTTCCAGTAGTGATCATTGTGCTTTGGGTAGCTGGTGTGGCTGTGAAGAATTTGCCTACACTCTCTATGGCCTGGTTTTCTGCATCTGAGAAATGTGAACAGTGGAGCTGGTTGTGGTGGAGCACGCCTGTAATGTCAGCACTCTGCATGTACAGGCAGCATCAGGAGTTTGAGGGTAGCCTGCGCTACATCTGGATGCCAGCCAGGGCTACAGGGCTACTGCAAAAC